GCCATCGCGTACCAAGTCTCATTTCGACTATGTCCTATTTGCGAATTTACCATCCTCGTTATCTGAAAAGCACACGTGATGAACCCATGATGTCTAGACCAACTTTACAGCCTGGTTAGGCTGACTCGCCATAATGATATTGCTGGTCACGTTGCGGCCTCGTGCGAATATACGACCGAAGTAGGATTATAGCGCGAATTATCTCGCCGCGATTGCTATCACAGTGATGATCTGTGCTTTACTGGTCAACACGAAGTAATTAGACGCAGTCTGCCCGGCTAGGTCAGGGTCTTCGCACACTGACCGAACGTTCCAGCCATTCGGTCCCGCCCCAGAGGTTCTAGACGCTTGGTGCATCATATGATCCGCCATTAACCTTTTCGGGCAGCAGATCCGATTTACGTCTAGCTTCTGGATATCTTTCCGTTAAAGGATGAAGAGGAAGCATCTCATAGATTGAAACGGGCGCATTTGAGAACCTCACTGTCCAGCTCGACAAGGATAGCTGACTGTGGCTCGGGCTTTGTGGGTGCACGGCCACGGAGGCGCTCGCTCTGTCCCCGGGACCCTAGACATGAGAAATATGAGGAGCCCCAAAGGAGCCGCATCTGAGTCATGACTTCGGAGCAAAGTGGGATGAGCAAAATGACCATTGACTTTACACTACCTAGTCGGGTCCAATTTGAATCTGGGGTTGCCAGCACAGTGGGTTGGATGGTATCATCCTTTGTTATGGATACGAGGCTGGCATATGTGGCGACCCCAGAGCACGTGTATGCGATTCTTGACTCAGTGGGGGTTTCCACACAGCTACACAGCAAAATGGACCAGCAGGCAGAAGATTAGGATATCATATCTCAAGTTTAGTCACATGAAGTGATGTTTAGTATGTACCCACCTACTCTGCGTGCTTCACCGCTTGATATGGCGATAGTAGATCACATCGATCTTTGGAATGCAGATATTGCATTTTGCTAGAACTGGTATAGACTTCGTGATTGCGGCAAAAATACCATGATTTGCTCTTGTATGCCTTTAATGTGGACTTAGCGGCTTTTTACCCTGGCGAGTGATTTTACAAAATGTCGAATGCGTTGATGTTAGTCATGATGCTCGCATTCGCCATTCTGCAGCGAGAGTAGACGGCGGTACACTTTCTTTGTCACTTAAGGCACCTAGGGGCTGAGAGCCTGGACCGTCTGTCCCAACAATCACGGCGAGTGTTCGTACTTTCCGATCTCCGTTGAAGTCCTCGGTCCACTGGAAGCATGTGTCGTAATCATCCTGAACCAAGTCCTAGACGGTGGGTACATGTCTCCATTGGCGCCCTCCATCACAAGATACAGCAGATAGATTCCAATGCCCAACTCTCCATCGACGCGGGGATTGAAGCCGAGCACGGTGCAAAAGCAGGTCCGGCGAGAAGCTTACCTGGTGGCACTGCGAATGACAACAGTCTGTGACAATAAGCTCCCGTTACCCCATCTTGGGAGCTGAATGTGGTCCCGACCCATCAAGCCACCCACTTCACGACTCGCCATGCCTGCTTTCACCGCCGGTGGCCGGAGTTGTCGGAGTCGAAACCGGTTGTCAGAAAATGATGAGGCGCAAGACGCTGCTTCGGAGAGATTCCCGGAAATGTACATCCAGAAAGTCAACGTAGGTCCCGCGGAAACCGCACCCTCCAGGTAATCCACTTATTACCAACACAAGTGCGGATCGTTGCAGGGTTATGAGGTTAATCAGATGGTGTCCAGATAACCAATGACATCGACCATCGTCATCACGGTTTTGGAACATTACTGGACATGAAACTATTGCAGGGAGATTGTGAGCAAGATGAATGGCACAGGCTGGGATTCCGAGGACTCGGAAAAGGTACGAACGGCTTGTGCAGCGCTTCTGCGAGGTTGCCCAAAAGGGATACCTTGTGTTAACTTAATCAAAAGTATTGCGTTGTACAAGGGTGCTCCCAACCGTGAGCCATTGCAGCTGAAATAAACAAGTCAATGCTGATTGGTGGAGGAAATTAGGATCACCTGTGGGCTCCAGCGTGCCCCAGGTGTTGTTAATTCACCATGGAGACAGAGCGGAAGTTTCCTGCCCAAGGTTTTGAGTTTATGCCATCGGGCTCTCAATTTGAAACAATTTTGTCTGCCATTTCCCTTATCATGTCCATAGCTGTCCCGGAGCCCCAAGCTGAGCAGATGCTTACGTTTACCCGAGTGAACAAGCTTTGGTAAGTCTGCCCGCGCTGTAGAGCATCCTGAAATGCCTGTCGAAGTAAGACTTGGCATGTTAAGCTTATCTAGATTATTGTTCCCGCTGACCAAGAGCCTCACCCCTCCGGCTGTTGGTTCCTGAACAGCTTAGCCGTCGCTGCACATCGGTCTGGAACATCTATTTCTAGCCCGAAGGCCTAGCCTGACAGCCGCACTAATCGGACGAAGTCTCACCGTCTGTGGACATTTGCGCACTTGGGCTGAGCTCAACGTTGCACCGAACCTCCTCTGAAAGAGAGATCAGCTGGGGCCTACCCGAAGGATGGTTGAATCTCAGCGAGCTCATTAGCTGAATTGACATGGGGCATGCCTGAAAACTTAATTGCCGTCTACCCGACGTTAGCTGAAGCCCTGTAGGGTGCACTTTGGTAGGGCATAAGTAACCCTTCAGCCCAGGGGGTCACTGGACCAGCCCCCAGCCCCGTTCCGCATGCATGACTAGTGCACCGTTGAATATCTTTCCGTTTTTGATTTACACTCCAGGGTAAATGGGCAGAAGCCGGCAATATCCTCGCTGAATCGTTATTGCTGGACTGCTGGCAACCAATGTCGGCATTTGAGAATATTACAGATTGTTTCACTGTGCCAAGAGTTTGGCATCTGGGCACGTGGGCAAGGGGAACTGTTGGAATGGGCTCTGAAGTCGTTGTTCTTGTGTCATCTGGAGTCTCAAGGCCCACCCCCGCGGATGCCAATTCTGGGCGGAAGTGGCAAGGCTTGGCCACTGTAGCGGCAGCCCACAGCAATGCATGGGAGTGCGACGTTGGAGTGGTATTGCTGTGCAACTCGCCTTGGGGGCCGCGAAGCAGGTTGATGGTTACAGGTCATGGGATAGCCCGACTTCGCAGGTTTTAGAAGAGAATTGCAGAGTTTGGTGAAGATTGAATGAAGAAGCACATTGAAGTCGAATTAAGATATGGACTTTGTTTAGATAGAAACGCCGGCGCATTTGCAACTGCCGAGTCATCTTTTTGGCTTTCGCTACTGCGCAGGCTGAAAGCCAAAACCCTGATGACGACATGTAAAAGTTGGCTTGTGCGGCAGCAATAAACTCTAAGTTATTATGCATCAAGATAAAGTGTTGTGAAGTCCCGAAAGTCAAAAATAAAGGTGTAGTTGAACGGTAATTGATTGTTTCGTCGAAGTAAATACAGTAAAAGTGAATATCTACGTCCAGAAGAGAATCCAACCACACTCCCATGGTATCAAGCATTTTCATCCATTAAAACCATTCCAAAATTATTCCGCCTGCGGCTTCGAGCAGCGTCAAGTTTCTTAGTTAGCCTCAGCTCCCTGGGCGCCACACTTCTTCTCGCAGTAGTAGGTCATCTGGTGTAAGGCTTCAGTCAGTGCCTGGTTTTCAACAATAAAACGCTGTCTCATCACATACCTCGTCGCCACCAATGTGCCAGCCGCCAGAAGTGCACTGGAGACCATCGAAAGTGCAGTCAGGGCACTTGTCCCACTGCTTGTTGCCGGTGTTGCGGTTCTTGTAATAGCCGCAAGCACACTGGGTAGCTGTGGTATCAATCTCGTAGTCCTTGTAGGAGCCGTAGGTGATGCCATAAGGAGTTCCGTTGCCAGTGCTGCCGTACGTTCTGCTCTGGACGCAGACAGCCGCGCTGTGGAGCTTGGCGAAAGCACTGAAGTCAAGTCAGTACAACCGTGAACCATGAAGGAGCTCGCGTGGAGGTGGAACATACACGGTGGTAAGAACCGCAAAAGTGGCGAGCGTGGAGATTTGCATATTGGATTTGCGTTGAGGAAACAAAGGTAGAGTCTTGTGCGTAGACGGGAGGACTGAGTCAAGTGGAAGGGATGATGTGGACAAGAAGGTTTGATGAGTGGTTTGAGTTGAGTCGAACGGAACGGCGAAACCGAGTGTTGAAATAAATCTTCGGTTTGGGAAGTAAGACATGAGATCGAGAGGTGTTCGCCTAGGAACCCTGATAATGGCATCTCGTAATGACTCTATCGTGTGCCTTTTCCTCTTTGAGGCGTGGGCAATCTATTGGATACCGGCTATTGAAAACATTACTCGTTGGTCACGGCGTTGAATTCCGCAATCTTAGTGGCTTTTGGGGGTGATGATAATCGGGCTGTCACCTTGGGAGTTCATTGAGGCCTCTATCTCAAGGAGGTTGACCGACCACAAAGTCACTCTCGTGACGGCTGCTGAGTCGTGCGGTATGGGGGCTGCTAGGCCCAATTAAGAAAGTAGGTCATCGACGTCTGAGGTCGGCGCTCCAACCAACGACAACACGAGGCTGATCATTCCTGAGTGGCATCGCAACGAAGGCTCGCTGGACGGTCTGTCGGGACGGGGTCCAGGTATGGAGAAGATCGGCCCCTGAATATACCAGGAAGGGATCTCAAATCTGACTGGGTTGGTCCACCCAACGAACAAGGTCCAGGGTGACCCATTCTACGGGGACAGGCTTGTAGGGAACATGCTTGACTAGTGACCGACAGTCGGATGAACGCAACCTCAACTCCAGACGATCCAGGCGGAGGCAAGCGGGCGGGCGCGCCACATTGTTGATCATTGATGTGACTGCTGAAGCTTATCTCTTGAGTCGGAAACACCAGGTCGTGATACTCTTGCAGATATCTATAAAACCTCTGAAGAATCCCGCCAAGTATTGTCTGTTCCTCATCACTCTCATCCTCATCCACCCACTCCTCTCTGGTCTCAAACATCTCTTCAATTTGCCCAACATGGTTTCTACTCGCATGATCGCCCTCCTCTCGGCCTTCGCTGCTGCAGTCAGCGCCGCGCCCGCTCCCATCCTCGCCGAACAGGATCCCGCTCTCAACATTACCGAGACCCTCGACCGTAACCTCCGCAATGGAGAGATGGTTGTCTTCGGAAAGGGTGGCAAGAGTAAGCGTGCCTCAACCACCGGAATTGAAACGTACTGACCGTGCATCACTTTTACAGCCGCCATCATTACTCAGGACACTTGGAACCTTCTTCTGAAGGTTGAGGGTGTTGAGGCCGAGACTCCCGAGATCGACCACGACTACCTCAAGGCTGGCGAGGGTCTTGCCGAGATCCCCGTCAACCACACCGACCTCGCCCTCGGCAAGCGTGACTGCAACGCCAACTACCAGTTCGTTGTCGACAAGCAGATGCGCTTTGTCGACTGGGACGTGCAGATGTCCCCTGTCGTCATCGGTGCCGGCAGCAAGGGCATCGACATCACCATCTCCAAGTCCTACGCGATTTCCAACGGCGTCACTGCTGGTGGCTCTTTCGACATGAGCAAGCTCATTGAGAAGCTTGGTCTCACTTTCAAGGTTGACTACTCTCGCACATGGACTACCACTCAGGGTTACCTCATCCGTGGCACTGTCGACCCTGGCTACACTGGTGTCGTTATCACCCGCCCCTGGACCAACCGCAAGTACGGCCGCACCTTCCAGGGCTGCGTTGGCGCGCTCAAGCAGACTGGTACTTTCATGGCCGACTCTCACGAGTAAGTTTCAACCTTTATCGATTAGTTAAGCTTGAGCTAACAATATCTTCAGGGACGGCTCTTACGAGGGTGTCACCTGGGTTGGCGGCGCCATCACTGCCTGCATCAAGAAGCAGAGCTCCATCCCTCTGTCTCGCTGCAACGGCAGCGGCAACTTCCGATAAACGGCTTCATGCCGTACTTGAATGTCTCGAGCCTGGGGAGGTAAGCCATACCCGCAGGCATCCGAGCTACATCTGCAACGACATCTTCCATCGCGGTTCGCAGCGCGGAGCCACGGCGCATTATGAGCAAATTGGGAATGAGGGAACGTGGATACCCATACAAATTTTGTAAACAATTCTTCTACTGTATTTAGTTTTGGTGCGATGAACATAACATGACACCGGCCGTCTAGGCCTTAATCAATTTAAGTGGTACCCAAATCCTCTTCTCGACTACTTCTCTCATGCAAAATCATTCATCTCGTGAAAAATCTGTGCCTCATAGACAGGCTAGCCACACATGAGGAGTGTTCAACTCTCAGGAAATCACTACTGATAGCTTGGGTGTGCTGCTCGAGTCCACTGAATATGTGCTATTTAGCTCCAAGGGTCCTGCTCCTATCAATGCATGGACAATTTCCGCCGTCACAGCACTCTTGAACGATCTCATAATCAAACTTGCACGCATCCTTAGTAAAGAGCATGTGACATGGCAAAGACACAGATCAACTAATGATAGGCATGTGCTGGAACAAGCCTGGTTAGCGTACAGGGACACGGATGATTTGCTCCTGAAGTATCATCTAGGTAGTCTTAAACTACCAATTGTTGGTCCACATCCCCCGAATAATTGTGTATCTCAGATGAAGACTCAAAGTCTTGCTATTATTCATCGGAAGACCGCGGGAAGAGGGTGTCTTATTTTACTTCGGGCCTCGCAGATCAATCTGCCGACTTAAACGGCGTATTCGGGCCCCACTCCCAAGGACCCCACTTCGGGCCCGAAGGCCGGCCCGTCAGGAACCGAGGGAAAAAATAAAATAAAAATAAAACAGGGTTCCGATCGACGCGAACGCGTCTAGAGCGCGACAACTTACGGAACCACGAACTTGCCTGTCGCATCTCCAAGCACCACATTCCATTGTCACCAAAAAGTAATTCTTTGTCCAAGCGCAGCAAACATGCCTCGAGGCAGACCCCGCTCAAAGCTCTCTGAGCAAGGTAAGTCTGCCAGTACTCACCGTCATTAATCCATCTTATCAGGTTCACCGCTAAATCTTCAAGATGCAGATTTCCCGTACGAAACGATCAAGAAAATTGTCGGCCATACCATCGACCCCGAGACTGCCCTCGTGACCCTCATTGCACTCTCAAAAGGCAACCGGATTGACGTGTCCGAATGGGATATTCAAGAACATCTTCCTGGGCTTCTCTACGAATACTGGGCTGGCTTCAAGGGCCAGACACGTCAAGACGTCCTCAAAATCGGCGAGCTTTACCACCCCTACAGACTTCTCAAACACCGTCGCGTTCGCGGACAGTGGCAAGTGCTGGTACAGTGGCTCGGCTACTCGGCCGAAGGCGAGGATGTCTCGTGGGAGCCCGCGAACAAGATTCGCGTCGACGCGCCAGACGTTTTGATCGATTATTGCGGTTATGTAGATGATGACAACGTCAAGGCTGCACTTCTCGGCCACTTGCGCATGGAGGAGTCTGTGGCCGAGGCCCAGGAAGTGAAGCCCGCAGTTGAGGCGGTTGCGACACCTGCCAAGCTCAGTGCGAAGCGCAAGCGTGAGAGTCTCGCCGAGCAGTCCGAGGCCACGAGCGACAAACGTCGACGATGTAAGTTTCTCGGGCCCTTGCTTTGCTTTTTCACTGTGCTGGAATACTTGCTGATGATGCCGAACAGCTTCCAGATACGAGTCGACGCCCGCCACGAAGACGCCCGCGACCAAATCGTCCGCCACAAAGCGCAGACAATCACAAACCCCGGCTGAGGCTGCCCAGGCAACCCCGAAATCCACGCGGCGACAGTCCAAGATACTTCCAAGCGACGATGCCACTCTCATCGCGTCTCCACAGCTTCCAACGCGCAGAAAGAGCACACGCGCGTCCTCTGTTGCACCTACCTCCACCCAGACCCAACGTCTCAGCCCGGCGGACATCCCTCGGACGATGCTGTGGTTCATGGATGACTTCACTGTCGGCGACATGCAAAAGGTCTGCCGTTTTATCGACGAGCACTGCACGGGAAAACTCCGTCTTCCGCTGTACAGTGGCGGTGACTGGGACGGAAAGGCTGCGAGCGGACGTTGGGAGGACGTGTTTATGGTGAGCCCGTTGGGCCGCCTGGGCCGGTACGACAACGACGAAGAGAAGGAAGAATAAGTGAAGGTGTGCCGATGTGGTAGTCTATTTCGGCGTTATGGGATATGCGATGGCCTAGACACTTGTTCGGGCGGAAAACTGCTCCGATGGCCTCGGGCGCCATGTTGTATCAGTTCCTACTTTTTTTTTTAGACAAGGACGAAGTAGGTCCTCGACGAATTACGACTTTTGTTTGTTTCGTATGTTGTATGTTCTAGGACCCCCGGTCTGAATTTTGACGGGTAGGTAACGCATTTGTTTCTCCCACGGAGTTCTAGGCCTGCCTACCTTTGTTCCTGTTCCCACGGCATCGTCCCAGTTTATCTCCATTTCTGACTTTTGTGCTCATCGGAAAGAGACGATTCAGAAGGCACAGTTACTGGGGTAGACGGCCTGATCTTGGGATCATATGCTTTCTTGCTCCAGTTAAGCGGCAACAACCTCAAACAGCAACATCTTTGGACACGTGTTCGTTGGCCCTTGGCTACTGAGCTACGTCCAATCCGCTGGCTGAAGACACATGCGCGAAGCCGATGTCACTTGAGGACGCGTCTTCCGCCGCCCAGTCCCACGAAAGGATATCTTGCCAGGCGTGCAGGCATCAACACACCCGTTTGTCGCACACGTTTCATGCGACAGAAAGGGGGCCAACCGGCGTACTGATTAGTTTGTTTTTGAGATACACGAGCCCGGTCTGATTTATTTGTCTTTTGTCCTCCCGAAGATAGCGCAATCGTGGCAAGTCTTCCGTCCTTCCGACGTTACGCAAGAAACCGCGGGATGGTACTGCCGGCAAATTACTCACGGAGCCGTTTTTGTTCCCTCGTCAGACTAGGATGCTCAAAGCTCCCGTCATTGTCTGGTGCTATCTTTCCAAGCACTTCCATCTGTCATTATTTACCCTTGATCATTGCGACAGCCCCTTCGAATCCTGTTTTTGAGGCGAACTGCCTTGAAACGAGCTGTGGTCACTTCGTTTAGCGGTGCGCAACAACAACTTCAACATGACAGTCCTCAAAAACATCACGTCTCGGCGGCACCACGCAGCGAATCCTTCCAGATCATCACCTTACCCCTCAATCAAGGATAATACTCATATTCCAAATGACACACCTTCTACAACGCAGCTATCTGATGGCCCAAGGACAGCCTCTGGTGTCAAGAAGCTGACGAAAAGAGTTGGTTTTATTTCCACCGGCGGCACAATCGCTTCCATCGCCATGGATGAATTCGACTTTATGGACTACAACGCTACAGACGAACGCGTTTCAGGCCAACGGATACTTGACCAGAGTGGGATCTCGGAGATATTCCATGGCGCTAAGCCGGTCATCTACGACTTCCAGCCTCCGATCGACAGCACCGCCATACAACCTCAAGACTGGTTCACGATCGCCCAGACATGCAACACGATGGCTCAGAAGGGATACCCAAAGGACAAGATCGAGGGCATCGTCGTTGGCCACGGGACTGCTAGTCTTGAAGAAACAGCCTGGGTTCTCTCCCTTGTTCTGGATTTAGACATCCCCGTCGTCGTCACTGGCTGTATGCGTCCCCTGAATGGGAAGTCCTCCGAAGCAGCTGCCAACCTGTTGGCAGCCTTTCGAGTGGCGACTCATGAATTTTCGAAGGACAAGCACACGCGTTCCAACAGTCCTGGCGTTTTTGTGGTCATAAATGATGAGATCCATTCGCCTCGGACCGTCACTAAGACGAATACTCTTCGCGTTGGAGCTTTCCAATCTCCATGGCGAGGACCAATCGGATATGTCGATGGAGACATGGTCAACATCACGTCGCAGCTTCTGAGTTCTCCCAGCAACAAGTTCTCGCTTGATCTGCTGCGTGATGGATTGCCTCGTGTGGATATTGTGTACAGTCATGCCGGTTCCGACGGAGCCATGGTGAGAGCCTGCGTTGCTGCTGGTGCTAGAGGAATCGTGTCGGCCGGTTTCGGGCCAGGCTTGGGTACACCAGCCGAGATTGCTGCCTTTGGTGAAGCCATTAAAGATTCCAATGGGCAAATCACTGTGGTGCAGTCGTCGAGGCTTGGAGCGGGGGTGGTTGTGGACAGCAAGCAGCACCAAAAACTGGGCATTATCGCTGGGAACGATCTTAACCCTCAGAAGGCTCGCATTCTCTTGGCTCTGTGTCTTGCAAATAGTTGGACTCATGAGCAAATCAGGAAAGTATTCGAACTTGCATAAAGTTAGTGGCTAGAAGTTGGTTGTAGGCAAAGCTCGTGATACGGACTTCTTGTTATTGCACCGAAAAGCAAATTATTTATGAGTACTCAAAAGATTCACGATTGAGACATCATCTCAAAGAATCAATAGATCTATCGCTTTCGTAAATTATATGCTTGAACCCTTTTGATGCGTCTCCTCTAGTCTATATTCTCGAACCCGTGACACCCCTAAATACATAGCAGAAAAAACAAATTAAATCCAAGATGGTGCTCTAGCCCTAAACTCCCTATGACAAATGCGGCTTCTTCAGGCAGACTGCTGCTCCGCCAGGCGCTTAGCGACCTGCGATCGAGTTCCTTTGGCAGGTCCATCATATTCATCCCGAGCACGTTGAGATGTTGCCCATCGGAGGAAATGGCGCTTGAAAAAGGTCTTGAAAGGAGTGTCACCGTTGTTCCAGGTTTCCGGCCAACACTCCTCATCAGAGTCAGCAGCGGAGAGTTTTGCCATTTTCTGCGCTTCTGAGACGTCGCTAGTGCTAACAAGGTTGACCAGCTCGTTGTTGGGGTCGTTCGACTTTAGGTGAGTGATGAATCGCTCGACTTGACGAGCGCGCATGGCTTTGAGTGCGGCGTTGTTTCTAGGCATTGCGCAAGGTGGGAAGGTTATCTAATCTCATCTTGTCAGCATTTGCAATTAGGCGCAAGGTTTGTTTCTTACTTGCTGACGAACTTTGACGGGTGACTTTAGGACTTTCTTGATCGGGTTATTGGCCTAAAGACTGAAATATTGTATGGTTGAGTTGCTCTTTTCTACCACTGTGATGCAAATGGTATTGGCTGATTGAGTGTGTGTCTGGTTGGTTGGTTGGTTGGTTGGTTGGCAGGTCGATTGATTTGCTTGGTGAACTCGGATGAAAAACGCGAGGAGCTCAGTCCATTTTATCTTCATCGGTCTTCATCAAAACTTTCCGAGTTGACATTCACTCCCAACATCGTCTCTGCCCACCATTGTGAGGTCGTATCAACAGCTTTGTCACGTGAAACGAGGTCAAACACCTGGATCTTTGAATCGACATCGGACTCAAAAAGGTGGCCTCGGCCATATTCAATTCTGAAAAGATGTCTGATTGATAGATATCTGCCCTTGTCAGATCTCACCTCCCGTGATGCTCAACCGATATCTTCTCTTCTCAACTATCAGATTTTACGATCACTCGGCCTTCGTTAGCATTGAGGTCCATCGCAGGATAATGATTTGACCGGCGCCGGCTTGAAACAAGGGCCCATTCGGAGTGGTGACAGCTGAGGTAAGGTATCCTCCCAGCCGGATCCGACGACAATGCCTCACCTGTCAGCTGTTGCCCTAGTTGGAAACGTCTCCCCGTCTCATCGGCTACGATACCCTTAAACCCATGCGGATGACGTTACGCGAACTGGCCAGCGACCCATGTGTTATCACCCCTCCCAGCGATCCTACTAGGGGCCGCAGTGACAATTCACTCGGACGGATGGCCCGTTTCCAGGAGTCTTTGACCGAGAGTGTGGCTTTGTTTAAACGACTTGCTCCTCCTACAATGTCCTTCTGCGCCGTCAAAAAAAGTTCAGTCCCTGCAGATCTGCCTCGTCTGATTCTTCACTGGCACCTTGCAACCATGAGGCTTCCCCAACTTATATCGCATATCCCATATCCTAGGCCTTAGACCTCAGCCGTCCCTTTTTCTTCTTCCGAATTCTCAACGCTCGGGCTCTGGTACTTTTTTGCCCTGCTTCTCCTTTTCCTCCTCTTTTTTGGCATGCTACCGCTGGCTGTCGATAGCGTAGACATTGTCGATAATGGTTCAGATATTACAGAATAAGTCTCCTCATCCGCCACCTTTCCAACATACATCCTCTCCATCTTCTCCTCCAAGGTGACCCCGAATTCCTGGACAGGTTTTGATGGAGCATCGACTCTCTCTGGACTGAAACTCTCTGGCTCTGTCGGATTTTCTCCTTTTTGTTGAGCCGATTCATCTTTCTGCTCAGCTGTTGCAGTCACGTCTTGCTCTGGCTGGGGCTCTGGTTCAGGTTCTGGCTTTGGTGTTCTGAGTTCACTTCTGATGAGCTCAATCTCAATTACCACTCGACCCTCTTGTCCAAACTTCTTTCTCATTCCATCGCCGTCGAAGTCATAGTATAGACCCCAAACACCACTATCCTCAAGGACGGCACAGAATCCTTCCCAGCCGCAGAAAGTAAGTCGGCGATCTTGACGGGTGCAATCCCAGGGCCCAGTCAGGTTGGCATCTGCCACAGCACGAACACCAAATTGGAATGAGTAAGTGAGAGGGTCCATAAACACCCAGTTCATGATTGGTGCTTCAGGCGTGATGGTGGTCACCAGCCCCGCGTACCGAGAGTCGGGATAAGGGATGTAGTATCCCTCAAAGGGATGACCGAAAGGAACATCGTGAGCGGTGCCAGTGTCAATGTAAAGCTGTTGCATTGTCAGATCATCTGTCAAACTTTGTGGTGGGGAGGTCACTTACCCTGTCTCCGGATAGTACCACCCGCCGCCCCTCGAGATAAGGGCTGTACTGGGATGACTTGGGGCAATGGACAATAAGGTTGTTCTTCCGACTTCGATGCTCCTCCTTTCGGGACTTGGCCATAGAGGCTTTGATGCCCTCATGGGCACCGACGGCCGTGCCGAAGCTGACTAGGAGTGACAGAACCATCTCCACTTGAGCGTCTCAATGATTTGCAAGGTACGCTTGACAACGAGAATCGAAAGATAAAAAACGGCCCATGGGAAGCTCTCGATGAGCGCCTGAATCAATGCGACAAGGGCAGGTGAGCGCGAGAAATGTGTTTGTTTTCTTGTCAAGTGATAGTTTTCGTCGAGCAACGTGTCTCTTTTGCTTTGAAGGGTGGATTGTGAGGGTCGTTGAACATCGGCTCACACGACGTGGCAATGGGGGTTTACTGTGGTAACGATGGTTTCGGGGGGATCTTCAACCCCGTTAAGTCAGGGTGTTGCTTGAGCCGTTTCACCCTTTTGAAACTTCCATAAGATCAGAACAGACGTTGAATAAGTTGAAGATTATCGACTGATGTTTGTGGAACGCGCCGGCAGGCACCTGGGAGATGTGCCAAATGCTACCGCAGTGGAGGAGAAATCGGATTTCGATGGGCTCATTTGCAAAATGTCAGATGCGATTCCCATGTTGCAGATCTTCGAGGACCCCTGATCGATGCCATTGAAACTCCCCGGCATAAGGGTTGCTGACATGGGTATGGTGGGCACACGACCCTTGCCGAGCCTCCCATGAAGACACTCTGAGACACAGACGAGCCCCGATGCAACCAAAAAACGTTCTATCTACTCAGTCGGATCGTACCACGCTGGCCAATTTTCAGATGTTCTGGAAACGCGACCGTTATCCGCATGAGCGAGAGTCGTTGGTCGGCGTGGTCTAGCCAAGTCTGACAAAACACAGCACGCGAAATTCGATCCGAGCGGCTGGTTTCAACATCGGACGATGTCAGTTGGCTCTCCAGAGCCGCCTCTGCTCCTGTTGCAAGTTTGTCTAGGATGGACGGACGGAGAGAAATGATAGCATCAACTATCTATACCGGGTTCTTTCGGCCGCGCTCGCATTTGAAGCTTAAAGCTCCTCATGTTCCCCCTCCAACTTGAAGATGGCTAAGCAGGCCGAACAACCACAACAATCGCAACCTCTCAACACCGCAACAGAACAACATAAAAAGCAAAAGTCCGTGGGAACAGGTTCCCCGATCGCCACGATATCCTCAAAGTTCGAGCTTCCTCCTCAGCAGCAGCAGCCACCAATCCCCAAGAGACCAGGCCACGCATCCCGAGCTTCTAGCACGTCGTCAAAGCGCCTCTCTGCATCAGCTGCATCAATCCCTGCCGAGACCCCTGCAAAACCGGCCCCGTCCCAAACTCCTACTCCAACACCTTCTCCACCCGAAGACAGTTCTGCTGCGCCAGGAGCTCTCAGAAGATCTCTCTCATTCAAGCTACCCATCCGAGTCTCAACCGACAATAATAACTTCCCTCCCGCCAACAACGGAAATCGTTCTCGAGCTTCTTCTCTTCCTCAAGAATCCGAATCACCAGTTGATAAGAAACGCCATTCCGTTCAACGCTCCCTCTCTTCTTTGACTTCTATCGTCGAAGCCAACAACGCATCGAAAGACCTTGAAGTCCCCCAAGCCAAAAGCCCCAAACCCTCGCCAAAGTCACCATCCAAGCAGTTCTTGTTAGAACGAGGTCTTCTTAATCCCGAAGAACTCGACGAGGCCAGCTCACCCGAAGAACTCCAAACTTCTCTCCAAGACCAAGTCGTCCGATTCCTTACCACAATGTCTTCTCCGTAAGTAAAACCCCACCGGCTTCTTCCAGCATCTTGGCATGTAGATCGCTCATGCATTCAGTGCCTCCAGCCAAAAGACCGATGCCGCTGAGCAGCAGCGCGCTCCCGCCTACCCTACCTCCTACCCTCCCAACAACGGTCAGCTCGGACGCAGCATGCCCCAGCCCGGCCTGCCCGTCCCCATGCCCAACCTCTCTGGCAACGCCAACGGCCCCGTCGGTAAGCTTCCCCGTCAGCCCCTGGCACCGTTGCCAAGCATGCTAACATAAGCTTAAAGGCAACCTCCTGAAGGGTCCCGTCGACGACAAGGGTCAACTGACCAAGGCCGCTCTCATGGTCGGTATCAAGTTGGACTTGGAAGCCGAAGTCCACGTCACTGCCCGCGTACGCGGTGACATCCTCGTCGGTCTGTACTAAGATGATATCCACATGCATTTCACTCTGCACATAACGGGTCTGTGAGCGTCGCTTTTTTGGCGATGTTCAGCTATTGTTTTGGGGGCTTGCCAATGTAACCTAGAACCATTGTTTGATTTACCCTCGGGGAAACGATGGCCGGCGCAAGATGGTCCACTGTTCACGGACATGGGATAAGCACATGCAATTTGATTTATTTGACAACAAAAGTCTGGCGATGTATCGTAGCAGGATGGGACTCCCAATCAACTTTAAGCATATCAAATTAGTTTTACCTCTGCCACACCTATCTCGTCATCAATTGTCACTATCTATTATTTGATCTAATGATATAATTATTCATCCATGATGCCCGTGCCCCTGCTTCGAGTCCGACTTCTCGACCATGATCTGCCGCTCCTTGGCCCACCCCACAATGCGATCGTATTTGGGGCATCTATGTTGCGAGTCAAAATCCGGCTGCGTGCCTTTGGCGCCTTTCGTGTGCAAAAATGGTGTAACGTCGGCGGCGCACTGCAATCGAATTCTCAACGCCTCAATGCAGTGATCAACATGCTGGAAGAAATTAGAATTGCCGAGGAATCTTAAACACAGTAGTACAAGTCTCAGAAAGTCTGATGCTCGCGCAGCGGGCTCTTCTTGGCAGACTTGCCACACGGGATATCTAGGCGACTCACCGCTAGGACAAGCTCGGGACTTCCGTGAAACGCTGGATCGTTGCTGTAGTCGTACTCGTCTTTGTGCGCATATTGTCTCACCTTTGGATCTCAGTCAGCGTCAATGTTGGTGGGAAAGACATCATCTTACAAGGTTGAGGCAGTGAAGGTTGTGAAAAACTTCAAGCCCCGCCAAGAGATTTCCAGACTCGGTACGGGCCCAGGGATCTCCCCCAACGCCACCAGAGGACTTGTTCATGGCGGGCAGGTATGAGTCTGGCAAGTCGAAAGAGCCATCTATGTTTCCTTAGTCGGTGGCCACAGCTGCTATAAGCCCGCATGGTGAACTTACAATACCACAGCTCTTTCCATTTCGCCTCCAGTTCAGGTGTCGGCTTGCCCTTGTATGGGCTTGGCTTCCAGAAAGCGTTGTCGAATTGGACTTCCTCGTACTCCAAGACATCGTGAACTGGTGCTAATATCGGGTTTAGCTATAACACACTATGAAACTATTGGTGGCGTTCAGTTGTGACGTACATGGAACATTGAGTTGCTTCACGCATTGTCGGTCTGTTGGTGGCTTGGGATGCAAATGAATCCACACAGAAAGGCCCAAAAGGACGCAACTGGCGACGAATAAGGAGGTAGCAAACTTGTCGCGTAAGGTCATTCTGGATGAGCCGCCGCGAGGGTACATTTTTGGCTTGTCGCTATCCGAGAGAAACCCCTCTAGCTCAGGCTCCGCGGCATCTTTCGCTTCAGTTAAGGGGAAGTATCTTCCCGCCATTTTTGATGGATTGGACTTGGTCGAGAGACTCGGTACAAGAGGTCAAGAATCGATGACAAGTCGTCTCGAGGTTTGTCAAGTTCCAGAGCATGGAACATGATAAGGAGTCTTCCCAAAGGTCTGGACGAGCCAGAGCTGACAAGCAAGGGCAACCCGACCCAACATGACTCGTTATCATGATATTGCGCTTGGGGATTCCAGCGCGTTCTACGGTTCCTGGTCACTATACGAGCATACTATGTGAAATTGATTACTTTGATTTGCACGTCCAATTGAGCTGCGGGGTGTCGCCGGCATTCCGCTTTCTAACCCCCATTCACCCGGCTCTGAGCTCATTCAACCCTTACCCGAACCTGACTCGACAGCTTGATATGGGTACTCACCTTCCTTTCTGGTCAAGTCAGCCGACTTCGGAAAGCTTATTTCAATCTGATCGCTCGAACTAAGTGGTCCCGTCTGCCCAAGGGGCTGGGTCTGCCGGGCCAGAGTCCTAATTATTGCGGATCAAGAAGGCTTGATCTTTTTGATAGAAAGCTTGTGTTGGTATCATCCCGCTTCGAGGCTTCACTGAAGCACACGACGCACGAATCACCTCAAAGCCAATCCAACCTCATGTCGCGTCTGAGCTGGAAGCTTTCATAACTGCCGCAGCTCATCTTACTTACTTCTTGTGAATGCGAATACCACATTTCGAAGTTGACAGAGGATGTGAGATCCACCGGAAGTGAAGATGTAGCGAAACCGAACGCCATAATACAGTGAGAGTACGTCATCATGTCAAGACCCTGGCCCTCCCCGCAACAGAAGTTCCTGGAGCATGTCGGTGGAGTCTGTTATCATGCTGGCCAGTAAACTGTTCATGGCAACTTCGTCGGATCCAATGCCGACAGCACCAGGTCATCCAAGTCAGTGTAGTGCCAGCTTCCCATTTCGCCTTAGTGCAGCTTGCGAGACCACCGAAGATGTCCAAGTCATTGCAACTGCATTCGCAGAAGTAGCAGGTTGGCCTGTATAAAGATGTACCTGAAGTCTTGCTCTATGATCGACAGACATCCGCTCCCCTCTCAACCTGACTTTCACAATCTGCCCCTCAACTTCTCACCCATCCAAACCTCAATTTGAAAAACCTCAAGATGAAGGCCTCCACCATCCTCCTCCTCGCTGGCGCTTCTCTCACTGTTGCCGCCCCCGTCGCACAGCCTGAGGCCGAAGCAGAGGCCAGCATTTCCTTCCTGGAGTCCACCCATTACAAGAGAGAAGCCAATCCCAAGGCCGAGGCCGAGCCCGCCATCAACTTCCTCGAGTCGGTCCACTACAAGAAGGAGGCTCAGCCGGAGGCACAGCCCGCCATCGAGTTCGAGGACTCCGTGCACTACAAGCGCGAAGCCAAGGCTGAGCCTGCTATCAACTTCTTGGGGTCCGTCCACTACAAGAAGGAGGCCGAGCCAGCGATTGAGTTCGAAGACTCTGTCCACTACAAACGTGAGGCGGAAGCTGCGCCTGCTATTGAGTTTGAAGACTCCGTCCACTACAAGCGGGAGCCAGAGGCCGAGGCAGAGCCCGCCATCAACTTCCTCGAGTCGGTTCACTACAAGAAAGAAGCTGAGCCCGCTATCGAATTTCTGGAATCCGTCCATTACAAGAAGGAAGCGGAGCCTGCTATTGAGTTTGAGGAGTCTGTTCACTACTAGGTACAAATATAATGGCCGACAGCCGTAGGATTGGTGATTGGTACGGCAACATCGCCTTACATGTTCATATAGATTGGCATAGCATATAATATAGCATCCTTGATACAAGTTGTCCACACAGCATTCTGTGCTAATACGGTGATATGGAAGCTTCAGACCATGGGAAATATCAATTGGGAGTATCGTATATGTATGTTCAGCGTGTCTTGGTTTGAAAAGCTTTACAGGAAGAGCCGCGATTGATGGAAAAAGTCGTGTTCATGATTCCATTCGCGATTAGATTGTTCCTACTAATTTTCAACTCGGGGTATCCGCAAGTCGACTCGTGTTCTGCGTATTCTGAAGCTTTTCGTATGCTTTTCTTTTCACGCCCTGCCCTTGTCCCTTCTATATGGCTTTCGCCCGTGAACGATGTATCTGCAGCCTCATATCAGCATTGAGTTTGACCTTGTATTCAGAAGGGGAACCTTACATCGGCCAGTATGCGTGTACGCTCGTATCTCTCAATACCTTTCTGGCTTTGCTGACGAGAACGATAACCTCCTCGTAACTCCATCCAAGAGCTCTTGTGAGGGGAGCAAGCGTGGCTGGCTCAAGGGCCTGGTCCATGTTCTCTAAGCTCCACATGCCAAGATCCTTGTAATGCTTGTCTCGAGGCCAACGGTTTGTGGGCCATTTGTAGATGGTCTCAACAACGTCTTCGAAACCGGCTTCTTCCATGAGTTGCTTCCACTGCTCCGCAGCGGTGACAGGTCTACCAAACTTTGCCATACCTTCCATTACCAGGAGCACCCATTTCCAAAGGTCTGAATCAACTGATAGTGTCCCATCGTCGCAACCTAAAGGAAGAGCCATATCTTGGGCCTCGAAATAGCCGCCTGGCTCCAGGGCGCTTCAGAGCGTATCAGTAGGCGACCAAACCAACGGCCCGCACAGGTCAAACTCACTCAAAAGCCTTGTAGACGATACTTCTATTGTCTGCAAAACTGCCTGTCATCATGCGAGAAAAGATGAAGTCGAATGGTCGTGACCACGTCCAGTCCTTCTCCAAATCATCGAGCTTTGTGACATCCTGTCAGATGAAACTCAATAACGGTCTCGTTTTGTCTAAACATACCTCAAAAGAACAATTCGGGGGCACACTGCTTATGATGAGCGAGGCGCAACTGGCAAGTCGTGAATGGAGGGCAACTCACAGGTCTGGCTGGACGGGGCTAAGATCGACTCCAATCACCTGCCATACTGTCAGCCAGTGGCAGAAATTCTGACACGTGTAAGTGCTACCTCAGCATCAGGATGCGCATCCGCTGGTGGTTGTCAGAATCATGTCAGACCTTAATCTCACCCTTGAGTGGGCGGGCTGTGCGAGGAGGGGCCATCTTACCATACTCCATGGACCAGATTCCGGTGCCAGTTCCGAGATCAAGCACTCTTTTGGCACCCATATTTTTCGGGCAGAGGCAGTGATTGCCTCCTATCGTAAGAGTCATCACATAATGCTGCAAATCTGTGCAGCAGTCAGCCACGGTGACCCAGATGCCGTGCGGAGAATTCCTACCCAACCTGTCGACCTCCGACTTTCAACACGAATGAAAGTGTTAATCACTACCCATAACCGGGGTTCGATTGCACTGGTCAAATCTCACCTCATCGTTTGGAAGGAAATATTCTGAGGAAGCGGTCAGTTCGGCACGCTGCAGACTGAGACAACGTACTATCACTTACTCCCCGCACTCATGGCATGATACGTACGGCCATTTTCGTGCTGGTAATGGCGAATGCTTGACCGCAGCGATGTCAACGAATCGCGAAAAGGCTAAGCAACGGGAATTAGCAGGCAAACTCCTTGGCTAGCGAAGAAGGTTTGTGGTCCGATGCGTGACGCTGCCAGGATATCAAAAGGCAGAAAGACGATTGGTCTGCTCGGATGACTCGCAGATGTCTCCAGTGCGTCCTCTGTACGCGCTCTGGGAGTGGCTACTGTTGGAGTCGCAGTGGAGGAGTCTTCAGGGGGCAACAAGGGGCGGAGAGGCGGGTGAACGATGGAAATATGGTAGACTAACAACGCCGAGAGCCGAATCGGTGTCAGAATTGTCGACTGCGTCCGCTTCCTATTGGCAGGTTAGTATTTTTCCTCCGAGGACGATGTCCATGGATGAAGCTAGCATGCAGCCTTCACTTACAATCTGCGGCGCTGGCTCCTGTTCGGACGCCAATGCATATGAAGATTCCGGTGGCGGCGAGAAGGCGTCTTCTGGCCGCGGTGCTGGAGTTGGGGCCGCTTTGGGGGATTCGGCGGGCCTTTGGTGGGCGTTTGTGGCAGATACCGGGGAGACCGGGGACTGCGGCGGAGACACGACCATGGCGCGAGCTTCCACTGAGAGGGTTCACAATTGTTCGGAACTGTGAATGGGGTCCTAAGTGGCTGTGTTGAGAAGAATGAGCTGCCGAGTATCCTGATGCAGCATCAGACAGCTGCGAAGAGACTCAAGCGGGAGAATTAGAGGCAAAGACTGCCAGAGAGGAAAATATCAAGATCAAAGGAGGCCGAAGCAGACGCAGGGAGAAGAGGAGTGGTTACGCCTAGCGGGCTGCAAAATGTCATATGTCTTTAATAAGAGGCAGACCAGCCTCAGGCAACGGTCAACTGGGCATTCTTTGTGATACATCAGACTGCAGATTGCAGACGTTTCTCGCCGGCTCAATGTACGTGCGAGGAGACACTACTGCGGAATTAGGGGCCTCGCGTCTGTAGTGCGGTGGGATGTGATGCAGCCAAACGGGGATGAAGACTGCGCAGGAGAGACAGACGGCAGCGAAGCGAGAAGGCCCACGCTCCGGGTTGCATCGCGTGGTTTACCGACAGAGTCTTGCGTCTTCAGGGGACTATGACACTAACGCGGTTCCAAGGTGCTCGACTAGTAGCTGCATGAAGATGATGACATGAGGAGTCCAGAAAAAGCCGAACAGCTTTCTCAGCGATGCCCGCCCATTGGGCTGTCGGCAAGAGGAAATGGGGCCAAGGGGAAATTAACTACCAAGTTTCTTTTCATTCAGGCCATTGTCAATTCATCAAATGCATCTCATCGCCCACTGCATCATTCATAAGCGGCCCGTATCAATACCCGTTTGGTTCTGAGTCTAGGTGCTCGGTGTGTGTTACGAATGCCGCTCTGGCTGGCCGAAACACAGCACCGGAACCCCGCCATCTTCGGGGGTCGAGTGGGGGACAATGTAAGGCGCTTGAATTGCAATGGAAGAACATTAGACAATACGGAGGAGGGCATCGAAGGTGCTTTGGCTTGCGAAAGAATACTGCTGGCGCCCGGAAACCCACCCACTTGACCCATGGGCAACAGCACAGCTCATTTCATCTTCGGTTCATGGCTTCAATGAAGGCGAGCTCTTGTCCCATGCAGGATAAGTGAAGCTGCCAGGGGCTCTTCACCGAGCGAACAGAGGTGCGCCACAATTCCCACCCACCGTTACCCGAGCCCGTTGCGGATGTTGTGGCCGATGCGTTAGGCACATGGTCTCAATCCCGGGACCAAGGGCACGGAGAAGAACACCATCGCAACTGTGAGATGGAACAACAATTATTAGTTCGGATTCAAACGGCACCATGGGACCAAACAACTTCCAGTTGAAACGTCTTTAGACTGAAAAAGGCCCGAAGGATTACGGCATTAAACGGATGCACAGTCCAGTGCCTTTGTGTCTCTGTCGCAAACATTGGAGAGACAAACGAATTCAGTGAGATGCCCTACGCCGGAGAACAGCAAAGCTACAGGTTGTGTGCATCACTAGCACCGCAACATCACCAACATCCATGTCACCATCCTGGTCGGGAGTCGTCTTCTCTTGCAGCTTCCCATCTCTTACAACGGAAACATATCCACAAACTGGAAAGATTGCTGCTGCCTGTCAGCAAGCACCTCGCACTCAATTTGCTGCCCCGTATTTGCCGGCGGCCGTTGATGCATCGTGACGGCCTGCCACAGTGCTACGCCAACACACATTGGGCAAGATGTCACCTTTAGCTCACGCGAAGATGCAGGATTATATCTAGGTGTCATTTCACAGCAGGGGATATTCGAGATGGGCTTTTCGTATTTACTGTTCCCGTTTTCTTTTTCTGACAGGCCCTTCTGCTTTTCTTGCTACTTTTGCAGCTAACTTTCACGCCCGTGCACCTCAAATCCTCACCTTGCAAGTCGCAAATCACTTCTTCTCGAACCCCCAGCAGAGCTGCATATCCAGGAATAGTCTTGCTTTTTCAGTCGAAGGTACTCACTAGTATGTTCAGTCAGCACGTCGCTTGAAAAAACGCGCAAGTACATCATCGAAACAATTATCCTGGCCCTCAGACGTGCTCGAACGCATCACACTATCAGACGCTGCCGTCCGAACCCGCTCAGGTTTCCAGACCTCGGATTTTGTGCAATGACCTAGGAAGCGTCACAAAGTCTACTGCCCGTACATCCAGTCACCTCCCGCTTTCAATTTCAATCTGACAGCTATCAACCGGCAGTCCTGAGCATCAAGTCTTTGCGGCGCAGCGAGTTGTTTGTCAACAACCAAGGTCGCCAGGTGCCCGTTTTCCGGGTCCCGCCACGACAAATTTCACGTCTCGCGTCCTCGCCCCCCTCATCCCAACCCCTGTCTCACCCCCAGGGCCGTCTTGTGCTCCCATCCTCTGCCAACTGAGCTTGCTTTTTGCTTGGTTGTGCCTGCCCAGCTGCCCATCAGCCGGGTCAAGAGCTCAGGATGCAGTATTCTGCTACTACCGTGGCATCCGTCGCCGCAGTGCTATGGACTGCGTACCTGGTCATCTGCCGAGTACGTGACTATGCACGGATGAGACACATTCCAGGGCCCTTCTGGGCACACTGGACCGATCTTTGGCTCATGAGGGCACAATTCAGCGGCAAACTCTCTTTCATTCTGCAAGACCTGAACAAGAAGCATGGTGCGTAATAATTCCGCTGTCAAGGATGCCTAACCACGTTCCCCATCCAACCTGCGATGTGTATGCCCAATACAATTAGTCCGCATATACACCAAGTCTGCGACGCTCATCTACGCAATCCGCTTGCATGCGAAGCTAATGAAACCCATTCTGTAGGTCCCATTGTGCGGATTGCGCCCAATTGGGTCCTCTGCGGTGATGGTGCTACGCTGCGAGTTCTATGGGCGGCTCGATCCCACTGGAAGCGAGGCCTCTGGTATCTGGGCCTACGTTTCGACCCATACTCCGACAGTGTTTTCACAGCGTTAGACGATAAATATCATGACACTCTTCGAGCCAAGCTCGCAGCCGGCTACGCAGGTAAGGATGTCGATGGCGTGGAAGATGTCATCGACGAACGAGTTGAAGCGCTGGTTCACCTACTAGAAACGCGATACTTGTCGACTGGGTCTGAATATAAGACCGTCGACTTGGCTCGCAAGGTCCAGTACTTCACCCTGGACGTCATCTCCGCCTTGGGATTTGGCAAGAAATTTGGGTATTTGGAAGCCGACGCCGATACCATGCGGTATATTGAGATCACGGAGAAAACCCTGCCTTCGCTACTAGTCATTGCATTGCAGCCCTGGATGCTCAGAATCCTACAGTCCTCGACCCTAAAGTTCTTCATGCCCAGCTCAAAGGATATCATCGGTATTGGCGATGTCATGCGGAGGGCGGCAGAGGCCGTTGAGGAGCGCTACGGCGAGAAGCCCGTTGTCAAACGCGACATCCTTGGCTCTTTCGTCTCCCATGGCCTTACGAAAGAAGAAGCAGAAGGTGAAACGACTGTTCAAATCATTGCCGGTTCTGATTCTACTGCCGCAGCAATCCGAACCACAATGCTATTTATCATGACGAACCCACATGTCTACGCCCGTTTGCAGGCTGAAATAGAGGCGGGTGTTGCTGAGGGCCGCATCTCATCGCCAATCACAGACGCGGAAGCCAGGAAGTTCGAGTATCTCCAGGCGGTGATAAGGGAAGGGATCCGAATCTACCCCCCGGCGACGGGTCTATTGCCCAAGGTTTCCGACAAAGACGAGGTGATCTATGGAATGCACATTCCTGCGGGAACCAACGTGGCCTGGTCTCCTTTTGCAGTGATGCGTCAGACAGAGGTATTCGGGGCAGACGCCGATATGTTCCGACCAGAGCGGTGGCTCGGTATTTCTAAAGAGCAGTACCGTGTGATGGATACCCAAGTTATGCTGGACTTTGGAGTGGGAAGTCGATGGGAGTGTCTTGGCAAGAATATCGCCATGCTCGAGCTGAACAAGGTCTATGTTGAGGTAAGTTCCCGCCTACCTGCCGCTTTGCAACGTCAAAGGTGATCGCTGACGATGGTTGCTACGTAGCTTCTTCGGCGGTTTGACTTCACGATTGTAGACCCCGCCAAACCTTGGACGACGGAGAACTTCGCGGTTCATATTCAGAAGGAGTTCAACGTCAAGGTGACTCAGCGTGCGACGCCTGCTTGAGACGTAAGGCGTGAATAGCATAAATAGTTGAGAAATGACAGTTTCAAACTGAATTCAAATGCCGGCAGGCGGGTTCTGGTGTCGTGACGCCGTTCGTCGGGCACATACCTGAGGTTATTTTAAGTCTAGTATGTCCACAGAGGCGATGAGCTTGACTCAATCAACCTGGGCGGTAAATGAAGGTTCGTCCCTAATTCGTTACGAACCAGTAGAGTAGCGGCTTACGAATATCATGAAACCTGGAGTGGCAAGGACCTCTTTCATCATGTATTGTCTCGTAACAAACATCGGGCCGAGTACCTACAAGCGAAGATGGCCTCGCATAGCGACGGTATTTCTGCAAAAACCTCGGTGTCTGCACCCTTTCTCCGGGGTTTGGATTTGACGCCAAAATAATTCTTCACGCTTTGACAGCACAACACGACTGCCAAAGACACAAAGTCTCCGCTTACTCCGCGTCACGTGGATCCGGAGACGCTTGGCTCATGGTGGTAACTTCACGCCCTAAGGCGCAGGAGGTACATGGAATTCTCCTAATCATTCTCCACATACCGGCAATAATCTGTTCGCTACGGGAGGAAATGGGCGTAGTGCGACTGTTGCCTTTAACTCCCTACGTGCCCAGTCACAGTGTCTAGGGCGCGCGAAAAAGGAATATCCAATCTGTTCCAAGCTCAACGATTACTTGCCTCCGAGAAACCGATGACCGCTGGCGATCCTGCAGATGGTAGCGGCGGTGCATACCGTCGCACGACACGCGCTAGAACGCATGACGCCTTAAATCACACACAAGATCAGGCCTACCTTGACCAGCAAGTTCTTGATTCGCTGCTTGGGCTAGCTTCTGGCAACTCAGATGGAGGCAACTTCATCGGCTCCCACCCGCAATGGTCGGCACCAGATGCCGCCGTATCCGGCACAACTTACCCCGGCCTGATGTCCGAAAGTTCCGACCACCTCTGGTCCGGGGACATGGCACAAGCGGAGCCGATCTCCCACGGCGAAAATTCGTCATGGTTTGGACACGAGCTGTCTTACGAAGACCCGGCACAAGAGTTGAGCAACCTTCAATGGCCGCTCCCTGGACCAGTTACAAGGCCTTCAGACAACATCAACTGGTCTGCGGCAGTTGAAGAGCAAGAACTCAGGGGACGCCGCGGTCTCCCTCGCAGGCGAAGTCGGTACCGATACATGCAATCTGAACAGAGGGCTGTACCGATCCCAATACCCGCCTCCCCTACAACTCAGCAAGACTCAGATCCGTTGCAACGATGGAAGGATTCACCGCCTCAAGATGAGCCTGCTTCGATAGCAGCTATCTTTGATGCGCTCAGAACAAATCAAGTTGACTCGCAAGATGGACACAGTCGATCCCAGCCAGCATACTCCCGGGCTAACTCTGGTACAAGCGCTGACAGTGGTGGAAGCAGCTCTTCAATGCAGTCGGCCAATTCTGCGTGGTCTGTTATATCAGAGGCTTCAAGAGGGAGACGAGCTGGATTCGGCCCTTTGAATCGAACCCGCCAAGGCCGCGTTGGGAAGAAGCGTGGAAGCATCACGACAAAGGACAGCCGCCCGTTCAAATGTACGTTTTGTTGCGACAACTTCAAGACGAAATATGACTGGGCTCGGCATGAGAAATCTCGACATCTGAATCTGGAGTCCTGGGTGTGTGCTCCCCGTGGAGGCTCTGTAATGTCGACAGTGACGGGACGGCCCCATTGCGCATACTGCAGCGCCATAGATCCGACAGAAGAACATCTCGATATGCACAACCATAGCGCCTGCCACGACCGACCGATTGAAGCACGCTCCTTTGGACGAAAAGATCATCTTGTTCAACACTTGCGCGTTATGCACAAGCTGGAGAAGCTACCCCGATTCGACGATTGGAAGATTCAGTCCATGGAGATCACTTCTCGGTGTGGATTCTGTGGCATGGCGCTGTTGACGTGGAACAAGAGAACCGACCATCTTGCGGCCCATTTTCGAAAAGGCTTGACGATGAAGGACTGGAAAGGAGAGCATGGGTTTACACCCGCGGTTGCAGAGCAGGTAGTTCATGCTCTACCGCCGTACCTCATTGGATCGGAGTCTATGAGCGTGGTACCGTTCTCAGCAACCAAACAGGGCACAAAAGATCACTTTGCTCAAATCTCTTCCCGGACACATGGATTCAAAGACACTGCGGAGGAATTGTCTACAGAGCTGAAGGAACCCGACTCACTCCCCTCGCCATCCGTTCTGACCTCGAGAGCCGCGACTTCCAAAGCATTCACCGAGATATTGGAGCGACACCTGAAGCACTTCGCGGACGAATATATGGCGCAGGGGATTAACCCTACAGACGATATGCTCAGGCAGGAATCAAGACGGGTCATTTATGACAGTGACGACGAATGGAACCAGACCGTTGCAGATAACTCTGAATGGCTGGCGCAGTTTCGAACCCGCCACGGTCTAGAAATCAAGGGTGACCAAGATAAGACTATAGAGAAAACATGATCCCAACCCTGAGGTGATCTTTCTGTCCTTGCTCTTGGTGCCTTTGGTAACGCTCTACCTTCTGATGTCTCTGTCGATGATCCGAATCGCTTCTAAGCACTGCTCATCATGAAATCGAGGGGCAACCACTTGGATTGAGCATGGAGCTCCATCGCTCGCTTCGGGGTCGTCTTAGAACAGTCAGCATCTCTGTTTTGCGCCAGGCAGTGATTTAGGGCCTCTCAAGCTCACAGTCTGCCTCGAATTCTGCCACAGCCTTCTCGGGTGAGGGGTCCTTCTCCTTAGATGCAAAGCCGTACGGGATGATACCAGCAGGATACTGTCCCAAGTCAACGACAAAATTCCTTCATCAGTAGTCCATAAACCTACATCCAACACATTCCACATCAATGTGTAAACTGGGTTACCATACGTGTCGTGGGGCACAGAGGTACTGATGGCTCCTGGCCCGATAACGACATCGAGTCCATGTTCTCGCCATGTCTTTCGCCAGCTATCGGCATAGGCATCACGGAGACCGAGAAAATCGCTAAGCTGGTGTGCAACAGGCTTATCCGCAGAAACCGGAGGCTTCGTCTTCGTGAAGGGATGCACCCCTCGCTTTACAGAAGGGACGAGAGGTTCTCCGATCTCGTTTGCGAGGACGTCCAAGCCATCTGAAGTCATGAAGAAATACTGGAATCCCAATCTTCCGCCAAGTCCGGCGCTACAGTCAGGATCTTGCGGCAGCCTGATGACCTCGTGTCCCGCCTTCAGCAAAGCGGAGACTGCGTTCTCGAGGGCTCGACGAACGGGGGGGTGCATGGGATACTCCGGGTCTTCCGGAAGTACTCCAACTGTCAAACGTTTGGCGTTGTCAGATTTGGGAGCACTCCACGGCGCGGCGATTGCGGAGGCATCATATCTCCATGGGTTTTGCGAGAGCACAGTTTCCATGAACAAGAACAGATCGTCGACTGAATTCGCCATGGGGCCCGCCACGGGCACCACACCAGGCAGGTGGACCTTCGGGAAAGGGTAGTTTGACTGGCCCCCGAAAGGCGTCCGATCGGCTGTCGGTTTGAAGCCGTAGATGCCGCAGCACAGGGACGGGATTCTAATGGAGCCTGCGATATCGGTACCAACGCCGAGAACAGAGCCGCGGAATGATACGAGAGCACCCTCCCCGCCCGTGGAGCCGCCAGCTGTGAGGGAGGTCTTGTGCGGATTCAGGGTTCTGCCAAAGATGTTGTTCTCAGAGTCTGCAGTCTGTGTCATTGCCCCGTCAGTTGGATAATCAGTAAAGAGGTTTCAGGGGGGTTAGGGATTGCAGACCATCATCGTCTGTGGAACGTTCGTTTTGCAGAAAAATACAGCTCCCGCGTCCAGCAAAAGGTCAACCATCGCCGAATTTGTCGTTGGTGGAGGCCGCTTGAGGAACTCAACGTAGCCGACCGTGGCATGATGGCCTTTTACTTTGAAGGAGTCCTGTCTCTGTTAGCTAGTCGGCTCGACGTCTCTTATTGGTAGGCAGCTGACCTTCATGCTGATTGGGAGACCGTGCAGAGGACCGGTGAGCTTTCCCGTTTCCTTGAAACGTTGATCGAGTTCTTTAGCTCTTGCGATACCCTCAGCAAAGAATATCTCGGTCAAACAATTTATCTAATCCTCGTTAGTTTGCAAAGTATGAAGTCTGTTGGGATTGCTTACGAGCTGTTGCGCCAGAGCCGCCCGCTTGCAGAATGCTACTGTGACTTCCTCAGACGTGAGCTTTCCGGCATGGATCTTGCCCAGGAGCTCTTTTGCACTGTAAGACTCGGTGATTTCAAGTTCGCTATCCGTGAACAGTCCTGACTTTCGTGCAACATCGAGAGCGTTCAACTGACCCTCCTTGGGTGTTCCAGCACCTCGAAGCTCTTTAAGCTTCTGGTCTGACAACACCCATTCTTGGGGTATCGAAGCTTGTTGCTTCTCTCTGTGACGTGAAGCTATGACTTCCCACTCCATGGCTGCAGGCATCGTAAAATGCTGGTGGTTACTGGTCGACGAAGGAGGAGGGCTAGGGAAGGGATGGCTTGATGGCTGATGCAAGACTTCAGATGACAACTATGCAGGCAGCGGAACGATTCTCGGAACTGTACATCAGCCGCGCTCGCTTATCAGGAAGTAAGAGATCAACGAACTTGGGATCATCTTCATGTTATCAATAGCAAGCTCGGAAAAGTGGCGGCGCGTCTATTGTCTCGATTGGGAAAGAGATGGCGCCGGAGCTTGGGGGAGCTATGCCGGCCGAGTGCCGAGGCCGCGGTGAGGTGTGTGTCCCGCATCTCAAACCCCGGCAAATGGAGTCGGGAGAGAAGGTTCTCCTCCGTGATCTGTGTCATCGTTGGTTGTGTTACAAACAATTATTTAACGGGCGGCGTTTTCAGCCATCATCTGTCACCCCAATTAGCGCCAGACCTGCGTCAATACCCGACTCGATCACTCATTTCTTTGCAACACAGGGATTATCCGGCAAGCACACTACCCCAAACATGTCGTCAGGAAGAGACTCCGCTCACACTCCATCCCCGGGGAACGCGTTCACTCCGAGCGGGGTTGATGTGCCACCCATGCGCATGCCGCATCTGGACTTCATCTATCGGATCGTCTGCGATATGGATCCGTCTGTGTCCGAGATACGCAACGTGGACAACACTGGTACCACGCGGCTTGTATTGCCCATTTTGAGCGGTTCGGTGAAAGGACCCAGAATCGACGGCAAGATAGTGGAGCGCAGCGGCGCAGACTGGGCGGAGCAAGTCAGCCCTGGGAAGGTTAGTGACTGATATCAGATACGCGTTATCGGTCGTGGGTCTGATGATTTCATTAGGTGTTTTCGAGATTAAATGCCCGATACACACTTCAAACCAACGACGGAGTGTTTATCTTGGTCAACGCACATGGTATCTATCGAAGCGGCCCGGGACAGACGGAGAAGTTGACCCCCACGGCATCCCAGGACGACGTAGAGTACTTCACGCATATCAACTTTGAGGCTCCTGGAGGCAGCTCTTATGACTGGATGAATGGAGTCTTTGCGATCGGTGTTATGACGATGTTTGAGGGGAAGCCAATCATTGATTGCTATCGGTTGACAAACTTCCCTGGCAAGCCAGCTGAGAAGCTCTAAAGAGAAATCAATGGATCTAAAACCTTCATATTTTGTTTACAATCCAAAGAATATAATACAGGTTGCCAAGTTTAAGGACAGCAATGCTTTCGACAGTAGATACAACGAGACATACGGCTTGCAACGAGGAGGATGGAAGACAAGGGCCCTGCAGGCTGCGGGTGGATATGCGGGTGTGTGCGGGTGCGAACCGCCCAAGCCCCCAAACATCTTCCTAACCCAACCAGGTAATAAAATTGCACACTAAATCTTCATGCGTTTCTCCACAAGTCGCCAGTACCGGGGCGCGAGGGCCGTTCGAATCCGTTTGCCCCAGATGATCATCGGCACGTACAAGAGTCCAATGACCAAAGCAATCGCCCCGCTGAGGATGTACATGTTACTGAGACCCATGCTCGACATCCAAGGAACGAGAGCAGAGGGAACACCAACGCTGACTGCGTTGCGGATGAAGGCCACGCCCACAAAAGCCTCAGCGGTAAGCTGGGAAACAGGAGTCAGTACCCAGTACGTTTTGACGGTTACGGTGACTTTACCTCTCGGTAGGTGTCGATAAGCAACGTGAAGGTGATGTCTCCGTTGGCGCCCAGACCAAAGGCGAAAAATGCTCCGCCGATACTGGGGTAGATCCAATGCATCCCCTATTCTTGTCAGTTTTCTGTCATTATTATGACCCAGCTAGGACTGAGCTTACCCTGTCTGCTGTAACTCCAAACATAACGATGCCTCCGGCCATGGTGATTACCGGTAGGAAAAGAGGATAAAGTCGCATCTCAGGCTCAAAAAGACCACCGTTTCTCTTCGCCAGGCGAAGGACGGCCCAGTCAGCAAATGGTCCGCCGTAGAGACTGCCAAAGATGTTCCCCACGAACGGCCCAAGTGTCATATACCCCACAGCAGCAGTGTCGAAGTTGTAGGGAGGGGCAGAGAAGACCACTGATACAACAGACATGAACAACACCAGCCAGCAAACCCCTGACGCGAACTGAAGGGCAGTGAAGAGGACATGAGGGAGCGTGATCACATGTAGGGGTAGAATGAAGACGCGCAGAAGGGATTCCGAAGTCGGGGTCACGAGGCGCATGCGTTCGCGATAGGTGTTCATGCGGATAGTCCGGTCAACGTTCGACTGTGTGTAGTTGAGTTCGAGTCCGCTCTTCTCCGTGCTCTTGATCTTGGTTAGACCGTTGTCAATATCCGTGGGCTCTGTTTCGATCTCTTCGCTCTGGCCGACGGTAATCGGCACGTATTTCGTTTCTTCGTAGAGAAAGATGAACATGATGAAGAGAATCGTGAGCGCGATAGAAAGAGCGTAGTATGACCACCGCCATCCTTGAGAAACGGCTTGCACGCCAGCAGCCAGCGGCGTGAGGAAACTACCCGCCATGACGGCGATGAAGTAAAGGCCATTGGCAGAGCCTCGCTGGTGTACGAAAAAGAGGTCGGCAATCTTTAGAACTAATTAGCAAACGTATGCCCCCTTTTCTCTCTTGGCTGCGGTATGCAAGCGTACCGTCATCTGGACTGCGGTCTCGTTGATCGCCCCAGCCAAACCAGTTATAACTGCTGTGACTATCAATTCTGCGTATGAGTGCATCGACGATGTCCACCAAGCGGCAGCGGCCAGAATGGCCGTTGAGACCAAGTATGTAAGTCGCCGGCCGTACTTGATGGTGAAGGGGATGAAGAAGATGCATCCGGTTGCGAGTCCTGCAAGCTGAGCTGACTGTGCGTTGCTGAGTTGGGCAATGCTCACGTCAAGATCGACGGTCATTTGCTGCCAGAAGACGGTCTGGATCGATAGACTATTCTCGTGATTCATGTGTCAGCCTTTCCGCCTAGAAACTTCACCGTCGAAGTAGGACTCACTTGGTGAAAGCAGCGACCGTCACCCCCATGGCCAGGCCATAATTGAGATACTTGCGCCATCTGCTCCAGTTCTGATGCCAGACACACTCATCAGCAAGCCACCTTCCCGAGAGTTCACGTAGGTCTGTACCAAGGGGTCGTTTGGATCCGAAGATGGGACGGGCGAAAGAATGAACGTGGATGAATCTGTGGCTTGTTCATCTGAGTTTGGGTCAACATGAAGCCGATTCGGGCGGTGGGTATGTCTTACGGCTTATTAAGTGGACAGTTCCAGGGGGTAAAGGGGTGGACTGGACACCCGGTGCCGAGGAGTTATCCATAGGAAGCTTTGGTCGGTAGTCAAGAGGTCAAAGAAACACGGTAGCGTAGGTAAATTGAGTGCTAGGATCCAGCCTAACTGTTGATGGTCGCTAGAGATCATCCAAAAGTTCTGGAAATTGAGGCAGACAGCCATTCGATATATCTTGGATTGATATGACCCTGATGTGGTGTCGTTGCAACTACCGACGTTCTGTTCTCCTGTCAACCCAGGAGGACGTCCAGCGATAAGACATGCGTCCAGGTTAACCCTCTTTAGACGTGTTAGACTTTATTGGCGATCATCCGTAGCCTAGCCCCAGTCATCTGTCAAATGATAAGGGCGTACAGGCCCTGCAGGGCCAGAGGTGTAGCGACCCTACTGCATCTAATGCCAGGACTTGGCTGCGTTCCCGCGTGTGTCTACAGTCGCGTTTGGATAGCCGCCGCGTGATAATCAACTTTGATGCCACACCCTTCACTAGCGATTCCCTGCAGGAACTTGTCATGACCCCGTTTCCAAAGCAGCTTCAGCATGACGACCGGGAACTTTATTCGCTTTAGCCTGTCAGTCCCCGCATTTTGTAAAGCTGCAACAGCGTGCTCAGACCCCTGGTTGAGGCGTCTGAGCCATGCCCCTTAGGGCATATATATGCGCCTCGGTTCCTTCTGCCTCTTCGGAGTAGCTTATCTCCTAAAAAGAAACTTGCCCAACACGTCGACCAGACATTCCCCCTCCCGACGGACATCGGGACCAGCCAGCTCGCCGAACAAGATACACGACGCCCACTATCCGCAGGGCCTGTTTCCACTGTCCACTCACAGATCATCGTTCGGGTAAACATGGTTCGCTCCAGGGGAGGCTGCTCCAACTGCAAGCGGCGGAAGAGGAAATGTGACGAGACGCGTCCAGACTGTCGGGCCTGCCAGCGGCGCGGAATCCAGTGCGAAGGCTACAACACAACGCTCAAGTGGACCAACGGAATAGCCTCGCGTGGTCGCTTTGCTGGAGCCGCGATCCCTGATGTCTCTTTCTACAGTTCCAGCTCGGAGCCCAGCAAACTCTCACACTCAGATCATCTGCCGAGCACCGAGGATCCACATTTGCAGGTGGCCAGCGCCCCATCCACCTCCTCTTCTACCTCCCCTCCCGGAGCCGAAGGGATCACGCAGACCGGCTCCGCCTCCGAGTCTGGGGTTGTTTCTCCCTTGGCGCCGTCGCCGGGCGCAAACATTGACCCAAAACGGCAATTGTTCAATAAGTGTAAGTCGTCCTTCCCCAGTTGTCTAGATCCAAGATACGATCCACGGCTGACTTGTGTACCAAGTCCTGAATGCCGGTTTGCATCGCTTGTATACGACAGAAAGTTACATCTGGCTCCAGTCACACTTCCAGGCAATGGCAGAAAAGAGCCAGGCCTTTTTTGTCGTCTGCACCGCCATCCAAGCGTATATGGATGATGGCTTTTCGGTACTGGCGATGGAACATGTCGACCATGCCCTGCAAACATTCCGAGCGGAACTGGAAGGCCGGCATGGCTCTTTGGATGTCTCGACCATGTCGGCGGGCATCCTCGTTTGCACTCTATGCGTAAGTTCTTGCTAAGCTGCGTGATGTACCGCGATTCATGGTCGCGAACTAATTTTGGCTGCATAGTTACTTCAAGCTCGTCCCTTCACCATGTATCTGCAGCTCATGGCGGACCTTTATCATCTTGACACGAAGCTTGACGTCCTAGTGCCGTCTGCCGACCATGACTTCCCCACACGCCATTCCATCGAGGTGTTATCTATCATGGACCTACCAACATCAGTGATAGGAAGGATAAGTCCGAGCATGGGTGTTTGGCGCAACCTGCGGAAGCATCAAGACAAGTGGGAAGGGGGGAGACTCGGGGGCGTAGAGGTGGTCTCGGGGTTGCCGAGGTCATTTCTGGACATTCTAGCTGACATCGAAGATAGTGAGAGACAAGACCTAGAGGCGCGGCTCTGGGCCTGGCCTGGCGAGATAGGCATGCATGCGCAATGCATTCTGTGGGACTGCTGGAGATATTCAGCGGTCCTGGATGTGAGGAGGCGAGGGAGGCGGACAAAACGCGTCGCGGCGGACGCAACGCCGAAGGTACCACCGACACATGACAAATCAACCGATTCAGCGCTATCTCCTTCGACGGAAGTTGTCATGTGCCGCCTTGTTGCGTCCATTTACTCTTTATTTCGAGCAGTTGAGATACCCGCAAATCACCACTTGCTGGTTCACAATGGCCTCATCTATCCGCTAGTTACGGCCAGCGTAGAGGTTCCCTTGTTAGCTGCGCACCCGGAGTGGAAGGAGGTCTTGGACGACGTGAGGGCATCATTCAACAAGAAGGATTCTTTCCATGTCCAGAAGATGATTGACGAAATCCTTGAAGCGGCCTGGAAGGAGGGCTCAGATAGCTTCGATGTTGAGAATGCAGCTCAGACTAGGGGAGTAGAGATTGCGGTCTTCTAGGACCGTATAATGATAATGAATAAAAGCAACGATAATACACGGCAGGCCTCTTTGAGCCAACTTGAGTCTAACTTTGTGCGGGAAGCGCAAGAACCAACTATCATATCCAACATTCATTCCAGTCGCAGCTCTTATCTACAGCACGACGCCCCCGAGTCCTTCCCGTTGACAGATACTGAAGTTGTCTCGCCTGCGTACTTAGATGTCAAATTACGGTTCGAGGGTACATCGAGGGCTGGATTCGACGTAAAGAAGTCTACCGGGTTGATGTGCAGCTGTATGGTTTCGACGGGCCTGCCCACATAAGTATGGTTAGTGGTAAGTTTCCGACAACAAGTTGTTTGGGGCTTACATCACGGGCCAATCCTCAACACGTGGGTTATGAGTGAGCCCAAATACGCTCCAAATGACGATATCATTCTGTAAGACATCATCGCATCGCGCAGCTGCATCTGACACTCCCTCTTCCTCAATTGTGCTCTGCAAGGTGTAGCGACCTCCAGCGTAAAGTTCGTCATCCTTGTACTTCGTCACCCAAAGATGATGATGAGCGAAAAGTGCTCTTTGAGCCTGGCGGCTCCGAGGATCCGCCAAAAGAAGCTGAGTAGGCGGAGGAACGATCTTATAGCCAACTGGTTTTCCGCTGACCGGATTACGCTTGCTCAAATTCTGAATCTTGAACAATCGTGCATTGTGGGGAGCGGCATCAAGACCGACCGATGTTGTGATTGGCGTTTCCTCAACCTTGTACGCATTTCCGTTGGGATTTGTTCTGGTGTCAATCTGGAGTGGGAGCGATTCTTGCTGGACCAGCGTATTCTCATGGCCATCAATAGCCGGGTCAATCCGCACGCAAAAGATGTGCTGGTGATTCTGAGCAAGCACGCCAGGGGATACGATATTTCCCCACGGTGCCGTTTTGCCAGCATCGATGTTGACCGCAGACAAGATGCCGGTCGCTCTTGTTTCAACTGTGATACCTCCAGCTTGGTCGAATTTGTACTGGAAAGAAAAGTCAGCTGCTACTCAAAACCAAGACAACTTGCACTCACGTTGAAAACGTATTCGTAGTTGGCTACGGTTAAAATGAACTGAATGACCAACTCCCGCCGCCGGGTTACGACGGCTCTGTTTGTCCGCCAGTTTGTGTGCTTCCAGCCTATGCCGTTATCCTGCTCATGGAGGCAGATGACGTTAGGCGAGCTGTGAGCTGTACCGTCGGGGCGGTTCAGAACACCATCGAAATACTGTCAAATGTCAGCAGAGAACCACGCATTTTTCACGCAAGAGCTTACCTTGATGACCCCGAGACAGTCGCATCCAAGCTCGAGATTATTCGCACAGTGGCCAATACCCCCATCGCCAAAGTCGAAGGCTTGCTTGCGGTGGAATGGATTGCGAGGATCAGCGTAGGGAACCGTCATATCGCTGATGGATAGTCGGTAGAGCACACTGCGTCCATCATAAAGAACATCATGAATAACGGCGCCCTCTCTGGGGTTGAAGCTGACGCGCATCCTCCATTTCTGCCACTCCACCAGGCTCTCGTCTTCGACACTGAAGCTAGGTCCGTTGGGCTGGAGAACATTGAGCTCTTTCAGATCGTCTCGCATCTTTGTTTCGAGAAGTTCCGGCACGTACTCGGAAGGCTGGCAATGGTCAATAATGCCCTTTCCCCTGGGCTGCGCAACGTAAGGGTCATCCACGCCTCCAGTTGCCAATTCGTCAACCCGGACAACCTCTTGCTTGATCCAATCAACCACAGGGATTAGAGGAAGCGGATAGCTGTAGAAGTTGGCATCTGGGTTGTTCTTCCGTTTGTCAATGGCAAAGACAAGCGCCTGGAAATATCGGCGATTCTCGTCATGAATGTCGAGACCGCCATAGGGCCAAGGTTCGATAACCGCTTCGAACCCCTCGGGAAGTGAAAGGGCCGCAATCTTGGACTGCAGAACTTCAGACGCATTGCAGATTCTGACAGTCTCTTGGAGTTCATGCCTATATTGCAAGCGGGTTAGTAAGGTAAGTTGCCTAAGGGATTGAATGCATCACTAGGTATCCACATGATGGGACATACAATGTGAAGCTCGGGTGAACGTCGGTTTTGACAGTTTTCTCCCATACACGCTCAAGCTTCTCCAGGTCGACGATGGCTTCGATTGATTGAGGCTCCTCTTGGTTGGCCACCACAACGTAGTGCACTGAGGCCAGACGCGGAGGCCTTGGTGTCTCGGGTGTCAGCCTTCCAGCATGTTCAACGTCAAGAAACTTGACAAGATTTGCCTTATCAGGCTCTCGAAGATATATCACCCGGAAGTGAAGAATCGTGTCAGGATGCAAGGCGCGAATGACATTTGCTGCAGAGGCGGTCTCCTCAATACTGAGGGGGGAGAGTGGATGCGCGTAAGATAGTTTCGATGTCATTTTTCAAGAGGAAGACTCGAAAGCTTTTGACTGAACATTGGAAGAATAGAACCATAAAAGTCATTGAAGAAGTTTCCATTTATACTTTCCCAAATATCTAACTTCATCTTCACTTCACATGATGTTCAGATAGATGTCATCCTAGCGAGCGTCAAGTACAGACTGCTAGCCTTTGCCTGAATAGGGCAGGTCGACCCGCCAATCATATCGGGGCATTTGCACCATGGTCTGCCAGGACAGGGGGAAAGCCGGCAATCAAGATCGGGGCTGCATGATTAACCCTGCTAGTGTGCGGCACCCAGCTGGGTCGAGAATTTGGACGAAACCTGCCACGTTGAGCGACGACAGTACCGGAACAGACACAGGACGCGACGCGTGACCACTATCCGAAATGGCGTCTTCCAGTCCACCACTAGAATCCTCGGCGGCCCGAGAGCGCGGGAACGGCTTTTATCGCAAAGGTCAATTCACTGAAGGTTTGTGGCGTCAAGTCCACTGTGTCGACGCCAGTACTGAAGATCTTTCTTAGCAGAAAAAGCGTACAGGGAGGCGGCGGCGCTTGCCCCTGAGGACCCCGCACCATGGTCCAACATCTCTGCCATCAAGTTCGAGCAGGGTGACTACACCAGCTGCTTGCAGAATCTCGAGAAAGCTTTGTCTCTCTCATCATCCGATGCGAAGGACGAGCCAAAGAAGCAGAAACTGTACACTCGAATGGCTAAATGCCACATGCACCTAATGTCCTTTGAGGCTGCGGAAAGCGCAATTAAGAGCCTTGGGGTTGATACCTCAAGCCAGAGTTTGAAAGCTTCCCTCGAGGATCTCAAAGGTCTGAGGGCTTCCGTACAAAATGGCGACAAGCTGCGTACGCAGACTTGTGACCGCGTGGCAAGATACAAAGCCTCTCTGTACGTTCTATCAATGTTTTCAAAGTTCCGCTTATTTACGCTCATTGTCCAGACAAGACATTCCTGAGTACTACGCCGTCGGCCATGATTTCGCAGAGCCTTTGCTCCAGCTTGATGAGCCACTCTGGGAACTTCTTGGACCAAAAGACACGCTGTCATTCCTCCTTTGTGGCAGCGGTGATGCTCGTCATTTATTCGTATCGATAGCCACTATCTTTTTCCAGGACATGATGAATCAGCGGAAAGGGAAAAATAAAGCCTTTGCGCAAGCATACTTTACCATCATCGACATCAACGCCGCTGCTTTGGCAAGGACTCTAATCATGTTCGATATGGGTTTTCGATACGCTGCCATGAAAACACAGAAGATGCCGCGTATTGAGGACAGCGCTCCCCGCAAGGCAAGTAAACTTGTCAAGTTCAATCAATCAATCAATCAATTATGAAGCTATCGCTAGTCAATCAAGTCAAGTTTGAGGCTCAAACTTGATTGATTGCCTTGACTCTTTTAACAGGGGGGGAGGGGGGCTACTAGGGGGGCCTTAAGGGGGGCCTTAGGGGGGGCTTAAGGGGTCCTTAGGGGGGGCTTAAGGGGGGGCTTACCTGGAAAAGTCCGGAAAATCGTTAATCTAGCCCGACTCTCGGCCCCGAAAACCCGGCTCCGGGGCCCCCCTTTTAGCCCCCCTTCCGGCCCCCCTTCCGGGGGCCTCCCCTCCGGGGGCTACCCTCCCGGGCCCTAACCTTCCGGACCCTACCCTCTAGAGCCCTCCCCTCTAGAGCCCTCCCCTCTAGAGCCCTCCCCTCTAGAGCCCTCCCCTCTAGAGCCCTCCCCTCTAGAGCCCTCCCCTCTAGAGCCCTCCCCTCTAGCCCCCTCTAGGGCCCCCCCTCTAGAGCCCTCACCTATATGTGGGGATATTTGCTAATTAATTGCAATTAATTAGCAATCAATCAAGTATAGCATCGCGATGTGGCAATCAAGTCAATTATGGGCCTCAAACTTGATTGATTGCCTTGGGGTGGGCGCTGATTGAGGATGCTCTCACAGTCATGTCTTACATGTTCTCTTCGTCATTCATGCCATCATTCGCTGCCGAGAAGATGCTTGAGCACATTCGAACAGTCATTGATGAGCTGGAGGAGCAAGGCGACGGAGTCGGGTCTGACTTCATGGGCATGTTTTACCTTCCAAGGGAGACACGGATACAAGTTGTCCGCAAGCTCAAACAATGGGCTGAGCCTCTAGGGGAAAGGTACGCCACGAAAAGGCTTCGTCCTCTCATGATGGAAAATCTTGAGATAGAGAAGTTTCGGAGGAGCATGATGTTGAACTTCGATGCTACCAAAGTTCCGTACGAGAACAGAAGTGACCAAGAGTTCAATGAGTTAGGTGTCGTCTTTGGCAGCCAAGTGTTCATCAAAAGACGAGAGCCGGAACTACTGCCACTGCTGGACGCTTTCCGATCTGGACAGCAAAGTTCCAAGGCGGAGCTCCTGAAGTACATTGACACTCACTGGGTTACAAATCCTACAGTTCTTGACATGGATTACCAGCCCCGGCGAGAGCAAGAAATCAGAGCCCCGCAAGGTCTATCGGAAGTGCCTCCGGGCTTTGACTGGAATCCTGCGGAGATGATCAAAAACTTGCGCAGTATCTTGAGCACCGAAAAGGAAGAAGACGTTCTCAAAATTGTGAGCGAATTTTTCGAGCATTTCTCACTTGCCATGATGACCCTTCATAGCCGCATCAAGATTGAGGTGATTGCCGGAGAGATGGCGGACGTATTGGACCGCATTAGGCACGGCAACTTGAAGCATCGCTTGCAGCGACCCAACGATGTTGAAGCAATTGACCCTACCCAGTTTCCCCGGGAGTACGACCGCATTCACATGAGCAATATACCGTGAGTCAAATCGCCTATTTCATACAGCCAATCATCACATCTTACAGATTTTGCTGACCTTGAACCATCTAGCGACTATATTGGCGGGCCTTTGGCTGCTTTTCTCACCGGCGGGCCTCTTCTCCGCCAGGATCGACCTTCCAACCTAAGGTTTAACAACCTCCTCAACCCTCCCATGTTCAAAAGTCACGATCAGTTCCTCGCGGAGTATGTTCTCATGCACGATGCTAAGGAAGTTGAGAGCAATTTTGGTGTCACCCGGGAAAAGAATCCTAACCCTCTTGACGTGGATGAAGCCGCCTTGCAGCAGATGTTCGGGGGCAACAAATTCGCAATTGAGGATTACTTCATCTGGGCCAAGTCCAGCACTAAGACCACTCTCAGCAAGCGATTGATGTCACGATCTGCCCTGGAGCGCTGGTTATATCTTCACTTGCTCAAGATTTGTCTTCCCTACCCTCGGCCGAAATTGTCAGATCGTCCAGTTCACGCGCCTTTGAACTTGACGACGTTCCTGAGGATAGTCGGTCATATGCACGACGTCGGTTACCCGGCGCACTGGTTATCGGGCGTGCTATCCTCTGTATGCGAAGGAAGCATTAGTACAACCGCGCGGGCCCCTCGGGAACTTGTTGTCAGCCCTGAAAATTTGAGCACGTCCTACCCACAGCGCAAGATCTGCCTGAATCCCTGGAGAGCTGAGTTCACGACTTTACTCAGTCTCTGGGTTGGCTTATTTGATTCTTCGAGGCTCAGGGTCGGGTAATGCACTTCGTCCTCGCGATCTTCAACGCAACTGAAGTCGATCCGCGCAACTTTGATCTCCGGGAACTCCTCTCGGACGACGAAGACGGCAACTCATCGGACTCGGCACGCAAGTTCAGGGAGAATTCTGTTCACATTGTGACGGCATTCAGATTCTCGACAGCTACACGCACTGCCACGTTCTGGATGCGCCAAGATGTACTCGACGAGTTTACGAGCACAGATTCTTGGCAAATTTGCATCTGCCGTACGGACAGCTGGGAAGAAGTCAGTAGTCGGGTGTCTGCATCTGAGAGCATGAGCCGTATAGGCACCTGGGAGCGCGAGTAGTGTGGTTCATTGACCTAGTGACCTAGCTAGTCCAGTCCAAACATTAAATTCCTTTTACTCTACTCATTGCTGTGCGGAAACAATGGTTAGACATTTTTCACAGAATCTGAGGTCGACGTCAGTGCCAGGCGGTCCACACTGCAATCTGCTGGACCGACCCATCGCGAGCCCCAACCCCAAAGTGGGACAACCACACATCCCCATCGCGAGGCGAAATGAGCTTCTGAAAGCTGAGGATCGTCACAAGCGATCAGAAGCCTCATTGGCTAAGTGGTATAGCGTCTCACTAGTAATGAGAAGATCGCCTGTTCGATTCAGGTATGAGGCAAGCTTGTTCCTTTTTTGCATTCATTATAAACGTATGAGCTGGGAACCATTCTCCTGATCAATATCCTCTAATCCGACGGCACGAAGCTGAGAATCTCCCGAACAACAACTCTGGGGCCTTTTTGATCCATTAACCCTAACGCGATATACTTCCCTAACGGTGGTGAGACTGCAACTCTAGCCACCATCTCCTCCGGAAATTTCATGCATCCTACCTCGCTCATGCTCCGGGCTCGCCATAGCGTGACTCCTCCTCGGCTGTCGATTGTCGCGATGGTTGCTCCAGACGCGGAGTATGAAGCCGCAGAGGTAGGCACGGAGTGATAGTATTGACGGCGCCAGCATTGGGCGTTGTCCCGCCAAAGATAGATGTAATCCGAGTCACAATGGGCATAATCGGCCCCGTCCGGCGAGACGGCAGTAACAGGCCCAAAGACTGGGTACTTGATCATCTCCTCTCCCCGAGTATACCCGGTACCAGTGATGGCTGGTTCTAGCGGTATGACATGCACAGCTCTGTCGAGTGCCAGCACAATGTTCTTATCGTCCGTGGTGAAAGCCATAGATCGGACGGTAAAGTTGCCTGTCCGCCAAGTACCAGCTGTTGGCAAAGCAGATCCCTTCAGTCTCCAAATAACGAAGTTGCCGGTATGTGCGGTTGCCACACAATGCCCGTCATGTGAGTACAAGACAAAGCAATCACCGGCTGGCATCTTGCCAAATGGCCCCCTCTCTTCAAGCAGCTTCAACTTCTTCGCATCGAATCGACTGAGGCGACCACTATCCTCCAGCACCATGATGAATTTATCGTCGGGAGATATTGCTGCGCTCGCAAATGTTCGATCCGAAGCTTCGTAACTTTTGATTACGCTTCCGCTGTTGGACTCGATCAAGTACAGTTTCTCGGGAGAAACTACGAGAAGACGCTCTCCGTCACGGGAGAAAGTAACCGACGGCGCTTCCAGTCCACGGCAGCGGATTTGACTGGATATTCGTGAGTAGGACGTTGAGTAGTGATTTATCATGCGAGACCAAATGTGGTCGAGGGACTGTTCGGCGTCGGGACGGAGCTTCGGATGAGAGCACATGAGGTCTTGAACTAGGGAGACACATGGGGACGATACCCCTTGGCCTTGGAGCCTCTCGTTGGGGAATGATCGACCATCATTGGAGTATTCGCGAAGTGCTTCGAGGTCCTCGCCGAAAGAGTGTGCGCATGTCAGCATGAAGTGGAGTGTTTCCCCGGCCGCCCACATGTCACCCTTTTGAGCTGCGATGTCGGGCGCAAGATCATCAGTCATACCAGAAAGACCGAGGATCTCGGGCGCCATAAAGCCGATTGTGTCGCCGGCGGCCAAAGACATGCTGATGGTACGTTTGGGTCGCTTGCTAATTCCAAAGTCGCCAATCTTTATCCACCACTCGTTCCCGGGAGGTTGAGTTCGAATGAGAAGATTCTAGAACTAGTCAACCTACTGATGACGAGGAGAAAACTGTGTCAGGCTTACCGATGGTTTCAGCCCGCGATGCGCCAGATTATGTTGATGTATATATGCTAGCCCGCGGAACACCTGTCGAATGACGAGCCTCGCCTGGGGTTCCGGTATGGGCCCTTGATCCATTAGATGCGAATGCAGATTTCCATGCGGAAGGAACTCCATGGCCACAAACACCTTGGACGGCGTCTGGTACCAACCCAGTGTCTTTACAAAGTATGCCTCGTACTGAATTGTAGGCGGTCAGCTTTGCTGCAATAGACATGGAATAGTGATTACCTGGGGCTGAGAGAGGATGGTGAGTCCCTTCAGCTCATTCATGATGTCCACATCAATGTCCTTCTTGGTCCTTGGTCGCGGGATTTCCTTGACTGCTCTCAGTTGGCCGAATGACGGTCCCACAATGCACTTCTCTCGGAAAACCAAGCCAACACCGCCGCTTCCCAGATACGATTCACTCTTCCAGTGCTCTTCCTTCCCCGGTCCATTGTCGGCGCCAGCATGGATAACGGTCTCGTCAGGCCCGATCCTCACGGCTAGCTCGGCACTCTGGACGAGCTGCACAGTGTCGTCGGCGATCATCGCGTTCATATTGCCGTTGCGCGCTGAGGCTGTCGAGCGATACAGGTAGGAACATCAAGGCGCCTTTCAAGACGGAAACATTGAACACATGATGCCGCCGTTTGTGGTTCCAGCCGCTTGGGAGACGTGTGAAGGAAAGAGATCGAAAAGAGCGAGGAGCGCGTGAGAAAGTCGGGCATTAGAGTTCATGACGTGTGGCAGTGAGAATGAGAGTTCTGCGGAATCGCACTGTCCATAAACGTAGCGACATAAAAATGCGGTGTTGTGAGGATATCAGGTGACAGTGTGCATTTGCCTTGGTGCTCGGACAGACACACTCGCAAGGATCTTTCAGTTGAAGCCTCAACAACGAGAAGGCAGTTGTTGCAAGTTTGTCATCATTCGCGAGCTTATGTCCCCCTCTGAAACTTTTCTATTTTTGTAGATCGAAACTCATGATCATCGGTAGCACACCCTTTCGGCGACGAGATCTGGTGTTGGTGGTGATGGGCCTCACAATGCTGTTGTTATCTTCTTATCCGGAACGGATTGGAAATCAAGGCGGTAAAATGGAAATTGCCCGATATACCGCTGTACACAGTGAGAAAACAACAATTAGAGTACATTGGCAGGCCACAAGGTGGCAGCTACATGGATCGTGAACCGTTGCGTCGCTGCCTGCTGCCACCGGTGATGTCTGCGGCGCAGAATGTGGACCCGACCGAACCAACAAAAACATACCACGCGCTGTTTTGTTTTTCATGACGGTGAGGTCTCCCTTTCTCTTCCTTTCTCTCTCTCCCTCTCTATCTTCCTCTCTATCTTCCTCAGATATTTGGTATTCAGCCGGTCGCCATCAGTCTATTTCCATGATGTCAAACTTGCACCCACTCCCAAATGAGATACATCGCCTCATCTTCTCATGGCTACCTCAGCGAGATCTCTTGACGTGCCGTCAGCTCAACAAGAAAATCGGAGACATCGCGACAACCTTCGCATTTCGCCATGTTGCACTCAAGGCGTGCCGCGATTGCACAGTGTTTGCGAAGATTGCTAGATCGACACATCTGCGTACAGTGGTCCGAGAGCTCACTCTTGACTCCTGGGTTGGGCCGTCGTTCAAATACAACATCAACGAAGAATTCCCGATGCCCCAAGACTTTCTTGCCGCCCTATCATTTGTCGGAATGCTTGCAAATGTCAAGACGGTCAATATCCGTTTTAACGAAAATGTCGGCAATGGCGACTCACCTTTCTACGGAATTGAAGAGACTTGCGACTTTCGTTTTTGGGTTCTTGACACTGTCATGCGGTGCCTCGCAGGCACGTGGGATGCGAACCGTCAAGAACGTAGGATGAACAGGGTGCACTCAAGGATGCACGAAGACCAATCATCTGAATGGGAGACATCTCTAGGTCTTAAGTTAAGCGACGAAGATGAGCAGCTCCTTCAGCCAATTCACGTTAACACGATCACCGTGTCTAACCTCCAAGACTTTAATGACAAACGACTGACGGAGTCTGCTGCATTCAAGTCAGTCATTTCGTCCCCAGACCTACGGGACCTGAAACTGTTCATCGCCCACGAGAATGAAGAAGCCTCCCCAGAGAACAACATTTACTTTCCTGAGAGATACGACATTGACTGCCTTCCACGCACGTGGCTTTCCCCGGAACTATCAAAACATCTCAGGACTCTTTCTCTCTACTGCAAGGATTATTGGGGCTGGTGCCCTCGGCTAGACCTTCGAGCCGTGAACCCCGGATCTGGGCCTGATTTTGGATTTCCTGCTCTAAGGGTCCTAGCACTCGGAAACTATGTTCTCAGCCACGAATGGCAGATCGATTGGATTGCTTCTCTTGGCCGACAGAACGATAGCGGAGGGCTTGAGGAGCTATATCTCGATGACTGCATCATACTGTTTCAAGCTGATATTGCTGCGCCACTCGAGACAGGTACGACAGTCATTGGCACAGACAGCGATGGCAACTCGATGGAGATTTCCAACGACAACTACCCAAGCAAGGAATGGTTTGTAAACAAGGGCGCTGGAGCCTGGAACGATATTACTGTTCAATTCGACGTTCGATGGCATGCTGTGTTCTCACGTTGGAAGGACACCATGCAAGGCCTGAAGATTCTCAAAGTGGGTTCAGGTTCATGGAACGGAGAGCATAACGACGCCATTTACAACGCGGAATTTTGGCACCAGAACACGAACAATAACGCGAGCGAAGTGGATACTGCCTTGTCGAAGTACAGGAGGGAGCGTTCCAAGTTCAGACAAGAACTTCAAGACCAGGTCTTTCTGAACTTCGCCTCTCCAGGACCGCACCAGAAGGTTGTTGGGACTCGTGAGCCGCAAGTGAGGTACAAAAACGGTGTTGGACTTGACCAAGTAGGACAGAAGTTCCTTCGATACTACAAGTATGACATGGGAATGGGCCCGACTCAGTGGTCGGAGGAGGACGAGGAGGGAGAGCAGCAGAAGAATGGAGGGCTTTGGGACATGGGAACAACTGAACAGGATTGGAATGCACTGCTGGAACTCCTGAACACTGTCGAGGCGAGGCGTCTCGGACTGCCTCTTCAAGAGTTGCACGGTCGAGATTTGC